CCGACTTTGAGCACCAAGATAGGCACTTCACTTCCCTGTGCCCGAATTTCCTCAGAAGCAAAACAGATTAAGAAAATTGACTTTTACCAAAGTAGAGTGAGAAACAGTATTTGCCTCATGCTTTGAGACTTAGATAAATGTTGCTTTAAAAAAAAAATCCCACAGTATTTACATATTTATTGAGACTTCTCTGTATTGGGCACAAGGATGCAAAGAGACTATGGACTGTCTGAAGGCACTGTGCTAGCCTTGTGCAGGTGGCCCCTTTGTGTGGCAAGGAAGCAGTGTCTTCAGGTCGCCTCTATCACCATAGTTCTTTGGAGGAGGAGAAGCGAGGTGTATCAGGGTGGACACCTGCTGGCAGGCTATTAAGATGAATTCACAGGATGGTACTTGAAGGCTAAGCTGAGGATCTTCCTGCAAAGAGGTTTTGTTTCCTTTGCATTCATAAATGCTACTGAGGTTACTTTCTAATTATTACCTCCCTTCAAGCTCATAAGCCTTTCTCTTAGATGAAACAGACTAGATTATAACTTACTTTGCCTCATTCATGTTTGTAGTAACAAGATACATTTGTTTTGTTTGTTTTTGTCTTTTGAAGAGGAGGGAGGTGTTTGGTGGCTGTCTACTATTCTCCCTCTCCTATCAGTCCAAGAAGCATGTAGGGGAACAGCAAAGGTGGAGACATCACTGCTGCTAATCCACATACCCTGTCGTCTAGGCAGGGATCCAGGGCTCAAGGGACAAGATATTAGCCTAGCAGTTTAATACATTCACATCACATTCCATGTGACATTTTACAGATAGGAGGCAAGATCAAACTTCTGTAAAAAGTTAGGTCCATATGGTGGGTCATGGAGGATGTGTCTAAAATTTTAGCACCAGAGATTGATTCTTTTAGGAGGAGGTATCATTGCATGATATAGAATCAGAAGTGTGTACACTATTGATTAAAATAATGATAATCGGGCTTCCCTGGTGGCACAGTGGTTGAGAATCTGCCTGCTAATGCAGGGGACACGGGTTCGAGCCCTGGTCTGGGAGGATCCCACATGCCGCGGAGCAACTAGGCCCGTGAGCCACAACTACTGAGCCTGTGCGTCTGGAGCCTGTGCTCCGCAATAAGAGAGGCCGCGATAGTGAGAGGCCTGCGCGCTGCGATGAAGAGTGGCCCCCGCTTGCCCCAACTAGAGAAAGCCCTCGCACAGAAACGAAGACCCAACACAGCAAAAATAAATAAATTAATAAACTCCTACCCCCAACATCAAAAAAAAATAATGATAATCATAATAATTCAAGGCTCACAAAGAACCTTTATGTCATATCTCATGTAAGGTTCACAACAATGTGCCTGTTTGTGTGTGTATAAAGTTTGCTAGAGCTGCTGTAACAAAGTACCACAAACAGTGGCTTAAACAACAGAAGTTTATTGTCTCACAGTTCTGGAGGTTAGAAGTACAGAATTAAGTTGTTGGCAGGGTTGGTTCCTTCCGTTGACTATGAGAGAAGGATCTGTTCCAGGCCTTTCTCCTTGGCTTGTAGATGGCTTGTCTTCATGTTCACATGACGTTCTCCCTGTGTGCATGTCTATGTGTCCAAATTTCTCCTTTTTATAATGACGTCAGTCATATTTGATTAGGGCCCACCCTAATGACCTCATTTTAACTTGATTACCTCAGGGAGTACCCTCTCTCCAAATAAGTCACATTCCGAGGTACTAGGGGTTAGGACCCCAACATATGAATTTTGGGAAGATACAACTCAACCCATAACTCTACCTATCTATATATGTATATATACAATATACTATAAAGAATGGCTCAATATCTGATATATTTCTATTAAATCTTAAAGACATTTTAATATGTGGATTTAAATAATCATTGAGCCATCATTGCATAACATTTCTAGAAAGTAGTGTTTTTGTCCTGTCTTACTCATGGCCTCATAAAGTTAACTAGTTTGTCCTGCACCAAAAATAATAGAAACACCTCTTATCCTCCCTCTACCCGCTCATTTCCAGATTGCCAGGAGTGGTATTCTACCCTACTCTTCTTGTTTCTCTTTTATGGTAGAGGAACATACCAGGTTTTTTTAAAATGCCTTTTATTTTTTATTTATTTTTTTTAAACTTAACTTATTTATTTTATTTTTACTTTTTGGCCATGCTGCACAGCTTGTAAGATCGTAGTTCCCTGACCAGGGATTGGACCCAGGCCCTCGGCAGTGAGAGCACAGAGTCTTAACCACTGGACCGCCAGGAATTCCCTAAAATGCCTTTTAGAAAACCAGTGGAATCCAAATAAAGCATAAAGTTTAGTAAATAACAATGTGTCAGGATTGGTTCATTAGTTGTGACCATGAACCAAGTGTAGTTGTCCCATAATAAGGAAAGGGTAAACAATCGAGGAAACTGGGGCGGGGTAGGGTGGGGTATATGGGAACTCTCTACTATCTTTGCAAGTTTTCTGTAAATCTAAAACTATTCAAAAATAAATTTATTTAAAGAATAAAAAAGTTTTTATACTAGAAAGTAGTATATATTATACAGTACATTAATGCTGTATTTAGAAATATAATTGTATTGTTTTTATGCCATTGCTTGTACGTCTTTTAGTACAAAAGAACAGATTAGTTGTGGCCTCTAGAGGACAGTGTTGAGTCATAGAAAGATTTTCACAATCTGCCTAAATTGAAGATGGACTTACACATTTTTTCTTCTTCCTTCTTTTAACCCCAAGGCCCCTGTTTGTTCATTATCCCTCTTTAAAAAAAAAAAAAAAAAAAAAGCTAAGGAAAATGTATGCCTCATCTGCTATCCTGATTTATTGGAGATTTGCTTTAACTTATTATTTTTGTGGAGTTTTGGGTCTACACAGATCTGTCAGGCCAGAATGACCTGCAACATTTTCACCCATGTTCAGAGCACCAAGGGCTTGTGGAAATTGTGCAGGAGTGTGGCGATGGGGGGGAAGCATTATGAGGGACATAGTATGTGTTTGTGAATTCTCATGTGATGGAGAGAGTGCTATAGAGTTGAACTCCCTTTAGAAAAACTAAAAACAGTTTGTAGATTAATGAAGATGCTCAAAAATTAAAGAAGAGCTTTGATCTTTCAAGGTCAAGACTGTTTGCTCTGCAGTGGTTTGTTGGGGGCAGGGAAAGGGAAACAAACCATTACTCTAGCTTCTGGAACAGATTTCTGGATTAATTAGAATAGAAATTCATCATTTTAATTTAAAAATTATCCCTCCAGAGGCAGTCTCATGAGATTGACATTTTATTTTTAAGAGGCTTGCGGGGTTGGGAGTTACAGAGTGCTACTCAAGCGCATTGGAGCCATATGAACCTTAATTTGCAAAAAGCTTGCCTTGGATCTAGAGGCAGCTGAAAATAATTGTTCATGTATTGGTGGGCTCAGAAGTTCTGAAACACGTCATTCTGTCATTAGATGGATGACATTTTTTGCCGATAGTGGAGTCCAAGGGCTTCACTCATACTAGGTAAGAATCTAGTATAAACATTCAAAAATAGTTGTCATTTGATGACGGTGTGTTCCACTTAGCAGCACCTATAGATTTCTTATCTTTTGCTCAAAGAATAAATCTTTAAAAATCTCCACTGTTGAACTGGGATGTGTGAGCCTTTTAATAGAATTTTTGAAAGGGAGTGGAAAATTTACATCCCCTCATAAATAGCGTGACATGAAGGTTAAAATCAATAGCGTATTGGTAGCCACACCATCGAAGTTGAACCTTGTGGGCATGAGTCTTCCTCATTCTCATCTGATGGTGCTGGGTACCAAAAATTCTTTCTTAGGTATTGTCTTCTCTTAATTAGTGGTGATATAACAATGTTCCACAGGCCATCTGGTTATTTAATAAGTATTACAAGGATTCGATAGATATTTTAGTCCTTGACATTGAGATTGGTCCCCTAACCTGGTCTCTTACCCAGTGTTCCTTATCTCAGGGAAGAACATTACTCCATCCCATTTGTGCAAGTCAGAATCCTGGGAGTTGTCCTTGACTCCTCTTTTTTTCTCATCCTTGCACATAATAGATGCTGTGCCAGGTTTTATTGGTTTTACTTCTTAAATATTTCTTGAAAGCACCCACTTCTCTCTCCATGGCCACCACTCTAATCCAAGCCCTTGTCATATCTGCTTAGACTACAGCAGAAGCTGGCTCACCTACAAACAGTGTGAGCTTTCAGACACACATCTATGAGACCTTCAGTGATTTAGGGTAGCAGTGTCTTAGGATAATAACCAAACTCACTTTCAAGGATGGTAACACCCTGCACGTTCTGGTCCCTGTTTCTCTCTCCAGCCTCATCTGAAAACATTCTCCTCCTTTCTCCCTGTGCTCAAGCTTCCTGGCCTCCAGTGCATCCCACAGGGTCTTGTAATTTCATCTACCTGGGACTGTCTTCCCTGCTGTCTTTGTCTGATTGTCTTCTACCCTCCTTTATAAATCACCTCAAGTGTGATTTCTTCATGAATGCCTTTCCTGATGATTTGGCCCAGAAAAGTTTTCTTTATTCTATGCTCCTTTACTTCATTGTACTTAACATAAACTTATAATTAGACACTTAGCTTTGTTGTTTGTTGATGGATATACATCTCTGCTACCAGCATATAAATTCTGTCAGTGGAGACCATGCCCAAGTATGCTCACTATCAAATCCCCAGCACTTGACACAGTGCTTGGAAAAAAGTAGTTGTTCAATACATTTGTTGAATGAATAAGTGGCTTTTGTTTTTTGGGGTTTTTTTTTGCGGTATGCGGGCCTCTCACTGCTGTGGCCTCTCCCGTTGCGGAGCACAGGCTCCGGACGCGCAGGCTCAGCGGCCATGGCTTACGGGCCCAGCCGCTCTGCGACATGTGGGATCATCCCGGACCGGGGCATGAACCCGCGTCCCCTGCATCAGCAGGTGGACTCTCGACCACTGTGCCACCAGGGAAGCCCTAAGTGGCTATTTTTTATTGAATGTTTAGGTGGAGGAAGAAGAACCCACTGGATACATTCGATTTGAAAAATTTCTCCCAGTGATGACTGAAGTACTACTGGAAAGAAGGTAAGAAAATAAGTGCAATTGTTAAGGTAAGGTAATGATTGGACTTGCATTAATCTCAAAACACTTGGCTTTTTCACTTTATATGTTATACTCAACCAATATTTATCATAGGATAGCTTCCTTCTAATTTTTCTCTATACTACTGAACTGCTGGTTGGTATGTGCTCCGAAGTATCAACCACTTCAGTATTAATCTAATAAGCAAAGTGTAATTAAAGGGCAAATAAGCTGCAAAAAGCATAAATCAACAACATTCTTATTATCTTCTGTTCTGAATTATCAATGATAATAAGAATTAGCCCTAATTATTTTTCTAGAGAAAGTGTAGCATTAGCTTACCATAGTTGGTTTACTGTAGAAATTTTGTTCCCAAATAAACAAAAATAACCAAAGTCACTTTCATGGATGGTAACGCCCTGCACGTTCTGGTCCCTGTTTCTCTCTCCAGCATCATCTGAAAACATTCTCCTCCTTTCTCCCTGTGCTCCAGCCTCCTGACTTCCAATGCATCCCACAGGGTCTTAGTGCATGTAATTTCATCTACCTGGGAGGAGATAATAATGGGAACGAGTTTTGTTTGGATTATTTTCCACAATAATGAAAAAGCTAATAGATAACATCAAACATGCCAGTGATTTTTAACTAAGTATTCCTTGTGGCTGTGGAGTACTTTCAACTTTATTATCTAGATATCCAAAAATATTTCAGTGAGGAAAGTATTATTAAATATCCTAGTATGTTAGCAGCTTTTTTTTTTAAATGTGATCACTTGTTACGTACAGACTGAGCTAAATACTGTGGCATTTACTCCTTTTATTGCATAATTAGATATAGACCAATTCCAGAAGATACCCTTCATCGAGCTTTTGAGGTGTGTAAATTCCAGATTTTATATATATTTATATTTACATGAAAAATTCATCATGCAGAATTTATTCACCAAACAAAAAATATAATATCTATCTTTTCTTTTCCCTTAGGTGTTAGATCCAGCTAAACGTGGATTTCTTTCTAAGGAAGAATTGATCAAGTATATGACTGAAGAAGGTGAGAGTGATTTATTACTTACCTTATAACAGTAACTTATTCAAGTGATTAATAATTTAAAAACAATTAGGCAAAAATTCTAGGGGATGCTTTAAAATCAGTCATTCCAGTTAAAAGGAGTTATTTATTCTTCTTATTATTTTGGTTTTGGTGTGGTTTCCATTTTGTAGGGGGTAAGAGAACAAAGAGTAAGTTAAGGGGAGATGGATTATTGCCTTATAGGATTTTGTAAAGTACAATGATACTTCTATAAATTGAAGTCATTCCATTCACTTAGAGTATTTCCAGAATAAAGGGTATGCCACCAGGAAAACATGAACTATCAATCACTATAAATCAATGCTTGTTACTAGATTGAAGATTTGAATTGGAGTCTATAAAAATTTCTTTTATAAAAACTTTTCAGTTGGTGAAGTTAGGGATAATACAGCCTCAAATAAATATGAATTCACATAAAAATTTTCAGTTTTTTATGCTAATGGTACCATATATATTTGCTTTGCACTTGAACTGTACACACATGCATGCACACACACATATACATACATATATATGCACACCTATATATGCCAACATATTTCCTTTAGGAATTCTCTCTGCTTAGGCTGATGTGTAAATTTGTTTTCCCTGAATGTCAGTAGCCTAATGGACATTCTTTTGAAGCCATTCTCATATTGGTCGCTTCCCCTCTTCCTATATAAAGTTAGAGCTCCATCTCTGTTCAGTTCACTAGTTCATAGATGAGTCCTGAATGATTCAGAGTTGCTAATCACTTGAGACAGTCAGGAGTGCAGGGAATTTTGAGTCAGGAAGATTAAGACTGCATCTCCACGTGCCACTGTTGGACCATTTTTGACCTGATCCACCATTAGGTGAGAATACAGGGGGTGAGAGTAAGAGTGGCATGATCGTCATAACTGCCGTCCAAGAACCCATGACCTTGTTAAAATTATCTTAGGGGTTAACTTTGATGGAAGTGTTATGTTTCAAAGCACCAACCTAGGAATTACTTTAAGGGAAGTAAATCCTAGGTTATATTAGGCAACATGGATTTCGTCAAAACAACCAAAACAGTTCAATGTCATTAGTGTGACATGCCCACTGTGTAGGTGAGGGATACTAAGCACAGCGAGAGGTAATGATACTAAAATCAGCTCCCTTTCTCAAGGAAATTATAGGCTTATTGGAGGAAATAAAACCAACGTATAAAACAATTCAAAATATAAGACAGTAGAAAAAAGTGAGTATCAGAAGATCAATGTGGGCTGGACCAGCCTGGAAAGCTTGGTCTGGGAAGACTTAAAGAGAAAATAGGTTTGTTAAGATGGTAGAATAACCTGGGTGTTTATTGAGAGCAGGGGTAAAATCTTCCGCATTGTAGCACCTCCCACGCATAGTAAGTCTCAGCAAATATTGGTTGAATTAACGAATGAGTGAGGAGATGAATGTAGAATGGGTGAAGGGACTGATGAGGGGGAGAAATAGATTGATAGAAAGTATGAACAAAAACTGGGAGGTGGGAATGAGCACTATATTTCGGGAGCCTGTGAGAAGACAGGGCCCAGAGGGTCTTGTTGGCAAACGGTAGGAAATGAATCTAGGTCGATTGACTGGGATTAGATTGCGGAGGCCGGGGCTCAGGAGAATTCATCCTACGGGCAATGGAGAAGCATTGTAGGGTTCTGAGCAGGTGAATCACACAATGCAAGAGAGATTGTGGGAAGGTTAATCTGGTGCTGGTAGGTTTGTGAGATGATCGAGAAAGAGGAGAGACTGGGGAGACCAGTTAGGAGGCTAGTTCAGCATTTTGAAGGGCTGTATCTGGCAGTGGCAATGGGAATGGAAAGAAGGGATTGATGCAATAGGACTGTCTACAGAAGGATCCACAGGTCATGATGAGTAACAGAGTGCCGGGGACAAAGATGGGAGCTGAGTCAAAAGTAACAGGGCTTTGGCCTGGACGACGGGTATTACGGTAATGCTACTGACTGAAATAGAGCAACCAGAAACAGACTGCAGTGGATACAGAGACAGTGCAACTTTTCACAGTGTCCACAGAATATTAATCACTTTGAGAATATGCATTCTAAATGCCCAGGATGTTGTATGGTGAACATAATCAATCACATAGAATCAAGTTCCTGCAAGATAGAAGTCCACATGTGTCCAGGTATGTGTATTGTGTCAGACAGCATTTAGCAGCAGGGAAGATCTTGAAAAAAACTTTTCGAACAAACACATATCACTGCCTATGTGCCAGGCAGTGTTCTAAGTGCTATTCAAATAATAACATTTAATTCTCATAACAAGCCTATGAGATAGGTAATATTATTATCATCTGTGTTTTACAGACAGGAAAACTGCGACACAGAGAGGTTAAGTGACTTGCCTGGGATCTTAAAGCTAATGAGACAGTAGAGCATTTGAACCCGGGCAGTCTGGCTCCCAAGCTTGTGCTTTTAATCCTTAAGCTATTTTCCTCCCATCCTTAATCAAATACTACGTATCTCTTTCCTTGCCTGAGGAAGCAGTGACCACCTTCCGTTTTTTTTTTGTTTTGTTTTGTTTTTTTGCGGTACACGGGCCTCTCACTGCTGTGGCCTCTCCCATTGCGGAGCACAGGCTCCGGACGTGCAGGCTCAGCAGCCATGGCTCACGGGCCCAGCCGCTCCGCGGCATGTGGGATCTTCCCAAACCGGGGCACGAACCCGTGTCGCCTGCATCTGCAGGCGGACTCTCAACCACTGCGCCACCAGGGAAGCCCACCTTCCATATTTCACTGTGAGCAAAACCTTGTTCCAAGCAGTCAAGTGTGGTTCCTGGACCTTGAGTTGGACTGCTGGCATGCAGACCCAGTTCCACCACCCACTGGCTGGGGCTGCCTGCCTGTTTTCTTTGTGTGCTGGTGTCCTCAGCTGTAAGTGGGGATAATAGTTCTTACCTCTCCTGAGGTGGTTGGGAGATTAACTTAGTTAATATCTGTGAAGCACTAAGATCAGTGCCTGGCACACGGTAGTCCCCGATAAGTGTTTATTGTCAGTATTCTCATGAGGACTTACATGCCCAGCAAAGTTCATTGCCAGTGGATTTAGTATTTAACAATCAGGTTATAAGAAAGAGTCAGAAATTGTCTTTTGGGGCTTCCCTGGTGGCACAGTGGTTAAGAATCCACCTGCCAATGCAGGGGACACGGGTTTGAGCCCTGGTCCGGGAAGATCCCACATGCCGTGGAGCAACTAAGCCTGTGTGCCACAACTACTGACCTGCACTCTAGAGCCCGCGAGCCACAACTACTGAGCCTACGAGCCACAACTGCTGAAGCCCGGGCGCCTAGAGCCCGTGCTCTGCAACAAGAGAAGCCACCACAATGAGAAGCCCACGCGCCGCCACGAAGAGTAGTCCCTGCTCTCAGCAACTGGAGAAAACCCGTGTGCAGCAGCAAAGACCCAATGCAGCTAAAAAATTAAATAAATGAATAAATAAAATTAAAAAGAAAAAGAAATTGTCTTTTTAGGCATTTTAGGCATTCTTTCTTTCCTTAAGACGTAAACATGATTTCAGAAGAACTCAAGCACGTTCCCATTGTTTGGTAATACTATCATCATTGTCATAAAAATCCCCACTTGAATAATTTCTGTATTATTAACTGAATTCCACCTAGAAAGCGTTGTTTGTAGTGGCAGGTGACAAACTCAGAAATTTACCTGCTTGGATTAAGACTCTTTAGGGGTGAGCTGGCGATTTGGATGCTTCTGTATTTTTGTTTAATGTCAGCACAAAGTTCTATCTTAAATAGATGACAGTGTTTCCAATGTTCTTCCTGAATTTGCTTTTCATCTTGGTGAAACCAATATCCAAGATGGTCTTCAGCTATTACCTGAATCCAGCTAAAGCCCACAGATTTTCTATCCAGCTTGTGGTTTCATTTGACAGCAGCACTGGGCCGAACTATAGCAAAGAGGACTGTTTTGAACTGGCTGATGAATGCATCTGTCACTGCGTGCAGCTGGATCACTAAACTGACGTACCCTGGTTAGAGAATATTCATAGACATTGTTATAGCTTAAACCTCTGTTATCTCTTCTTCAGCATTTCTGCATAGCAACCAGTTAATCCTTTCTTCATACCCTTACTAAATATAATGATTAGACTCCCTGTAAAACTATGACTTCAGGTTAATCCTTTGGCGATTTTAGTGGTTTTAATTTAAGTAAATAAACAACCTTATTTATGATGTTTTCATGTCCTCCTGCTGTTTTGGCTGAAACGATTGATTCTATAGGTTGCTTGAGATACGATACCTGCAAGGTAAAATAACTCCAGAATTTGCCAGGGGTCCAACAGCATGCTCTTTGAACCTCTGGACTGTCACGATGTGCTGGCTTTATGGCCCCAGGGAGAGTAACTAGAGACACAATGGGGGATGGTGGGGCTCCACGGCAGTTAAGTGGGCTAGTGGAAAGAGAAAAAAAAAATCAGAGGATTGTAAATGATGAGTTTCCCTTCTTGTTCCTCCCAGGTGAGCCTTTTTCTCAGGAGGAAATGGAAGAAATGTTGTCTGCTGCAATTGATCCAGAATCGAATTCAATTCATTACAAGGACTATATAACAATGATGGTGATAGATGAAAATTAAACACTCTACAGACTTCATTTCTAATTGAAAGATCATTTTAAGAATTGCTTGTCCTTGTTAATTTCACATTTTATTTTATAATTCCTACATAGTGCTAATTAATGCCTTGTGACAACTATTTCAAGATATTTTGTTTTTTAAAGGTGATCATAACAGTGTAAAACACAAATTTATTTAGTATGTCTAGCCCTATGGAATGACAAACTGCTAATTATTTTAAAACTATTCTTAAAATATTTAACATTATCCATGGATTGTTACTAATTTTCTACAATAAAACCCAGGTTACTTTCAAATTAATTAAGCTGACAAAATGAAGAATGATTAGAATGACCCAAAGTTTTGCATGTAAAGATCTTGGGTTGGGGCAGAATGACCATAAGTTGAAAATGAGTAGTAATGTGATGACAGCTTCTTTTTAAAACAGCGAACACTTCAGCAATCAGAATGTGGAAGGAAAGTCATCGAAGCGGATATTAATAATTAATTTCTTATGAGTGCCAATTATAAATCTCATTTGAGATGACAGTAACTTAGCATAAAAATTTAAATTTGCTGATCTAGCATGTTACCTGCCATTTATGGAATAGCTAAAGGAGTTGAGATAATTGAACCTTGAGCAAAGAAGACTGATTGGAAATCGGTAATGTAAGGAAGTGGCAATTCTCTTGTGGTCTTTAGAATTCTTAACCTATTCAGAATACCTGTCATGAGAATATTGTCCTGAATACTGAGTAAGAAAATTGAGAAATGTTATGGGGTGCAGGAGGTACGGCTGTTGAAAGAGCGGGATAAAGTTATCTGAGCACAAAGAATCACAATGGAAAAGCAAAGGGGAAAGTAAGATAAAGGAAAATGAATAATCTTCCGTAACCTGTATCATTCTTTCATACACACACACACACACACACACACACACACAGTGATCTCTATTTAAAGATGCTTCAGCACTACATGTGCCTATATATACATATAAACATTTAATGCTGCTTGTGATTCTTCCTCCTAGGCATGCAGGGGGCTGCTACTTAAGAGACTCTATCATTGTTCATTCATTCATTCATGAAACATTTACTGAGAATTATTAGTTAATGTACTAGGAGCTGGAGTTGCACGGTGAATCAGTCCCTAACTAGTCGAGATCACAGTTTAGTGAGGGAGACCTGCAAGTCAATCAGCAACCACATTTCAGACAGGGCACATGCAGGGCCTCTAGTTGCTTTCTGAGTGAAGAGGACGGTGGTAGGTTACAGAGCTTGAGGAGAGTGGTAAAATTTGGAAATATCTCTTGTGGGAAATGGGAGAAAGAGTTGAGAAAGAGCCCATGTAAGAATTTCAAGAAATCCTGGAGGATTTTGTTCAGTAACTCGGGCCCACGAGCAAAAATGATGGATTGTTGTGTTGATTCAGGGTTAAGGTTTGTCATCTGAGTGAGATGGAGGCAACCAAAGGTCAAGGGAGTAGAGGAATTCACAAGAAAGCAGTTGTAACAATGCTCTCTGGAGTCTGAGTAGTAGAGATACATACAGGTAGGAGTGGGCTCTCAGACCGAGAGACGGAGGCAGGGCCTCAGGACCTCCAAAGGGGCAAACAGCTGTGCAGGGGGAGCGAGAGATGATGGGCTTTCCTGCCATTCCTGAGTAATTACATGCTTTGCTTGAAATTTGACTTCACTGTGTTTTTAGAGTGTTCCTTCATTCTCCTATGTTATTATTATAATTAATAATAATAGCTAACATCTGGGGACTGCTCACTGTGTGCCGGGCACTGATCTGAGTGCTTTTTATATATTAGCTGATTTAATCCTCCCAGCCACCCAGTGATATGGGTCACAGCTATAAGGGGTTGCATTCATCAGTTGGTGCTAGGTTATGCTGTGATACCAAACAGCTCAAGAGCTCAGGGCTTACTACAGTAAGAGTTCTTTTTTGTTCATGTTTTGTGTCACCTGGCGTCGGCTGGGCCTCTGCTTCATGTGTCGTCTTCGTGCAGCTCATCTACTTCCTAAGCAGGGTGACCATGTGTCTTGGGTTACCCAGAGTGGTCTCAGCCTACATTTGTTGTCCCAGTGTAGTTGTTAATAGATCTCCCTCTTAGAAGTGTCCTGGTTTAAATGATTAATATGTGGTCATCCCATTTGAAAAATAGTGAATAAAAATGATGCTGAGGAATCATCATTTATAGAAGGTTTTATGAAAAGTAGCCACAGAAGTGTGGTAATGGGAGGCATTTCTTCCTGCACTAGTGTCCCGAGATTATGCCGGGGTGAGAGCCAAGTGGAGGCCTGATGTGCCACTCACTCAGCCGTGCTTGTTTAGAATCACCACCCAGAGATGAACACGAGCCACATGCCCTTAGGCCAGGGCAGAGAAGTATGAGGCAGGGGGTGTGGTGACCCCCAGAGCTTTAGCAGACAGGTGGCTTATGATAGGCGACACACTGCAGCCGGAAAGGAGGGTGCCAGAGACATGAACACCCTTGAAGGTGGAAGTATACCCAGAGGCATATCATTTAGCAGCAGCGGCCGGCACCAACATGTAGCGTGAAAGCGTGTGCTGGTGCCCAACGCATAAGCCCAGGCATGGACTTGTTCGGAGCCCACAAGGTAGCTCTGACTTGTCTTCTCTAAGCCCATTACCCTGCATGACCCTGGTCATACCGGAGAAATGCAGGCTGGTGAATTAGCCCCAGTCGCTTCATAAATGGTGATATCATATTCTTTTCTCGGGAAGGATGCCTCAGGATTGGGTACCCCCAGGTCTCACCTTCTAGAATTCTTTCAAAAGTTCCGACTGATGTCAAACTTCACTCCCCGTCTCAAGGAAATACTATCTCTTCAGTAGTCATAAGAGTTAGCTTTATGGAATATGATTCACTTTAGCACAAATTTGTTTTTATAAGGCCATGAAAAAGTACAACAGGCTTCCCACAGAAGTCTCACCTTTATCTCCTAGCTGCAGAATAAATGTAGCATATTTGCAAAAGGAACACTTTTCTTGGGGGCTCCCTGGTGGTGCAGTGGTTGAGAGTCCGCCTGCCGATGCAGGGGACACGGGTTCGTGCCCCAGTCCGGCTGGGCCCGTGAGCCATGGCCGCTGAGCCTGTGCATCCGGAGCCTGTGCTCCGCAACGGGAGAGGCCACAGCAGTGAGAGGCCTGCGTACCGCAAAAACAAAGGAACACTTTTCTTTATACTCCAACCATTTTGATTCATGTTTTACCTCTTTTCACTCATCTTAGCCATCAACATCCAACTTAAATCACAATGGCATTTTCCTGGCAAGAAGAGTGCTTGGTCTCCTGTGTAGATAGTTTGCTTGTCCTTATGACTCTGGGCTTCTGCAAAGCCTGCCATACCAGGCCCTGTGGAAAGACAGGTCCGTTCTCACACGTCTGGGCTGGGGAAGCTGCATGACTCAGGGTCCGGGGTGCAGGCCTGGCAGTCTGGAGATCCTTGCACCCTGACCTAGGCTTTGCTTGTGACTCACTCTGGATCAGGTGCTTCCCTCCTGTGCATCTCTGTCTGGAAAATAAAGAGCCCAACTCTAGTTCTTCTTCCACCTTCCAAAAGCAGGGCAGATGTAGTCCCCTTTGCATGTACCAAATGTCCAAGTGTCCAATGGTAAGAGATTAAGAAGAATGTCTGAGACGACAGGCTGGTTGGGATTTTCACCGGCAGGATTATTTTCTGTGGAATGAGGTGCATTTAGGGCTTTCCCTCCTTCCTTCCTGCTTTCCTTTCTTTCCCTTTTCTAACTGCTTCCAGTTAAGAAAGTACCTTGTTTATATAGCCAGTTCCCTATAGAAGATCCATGTCACTACATTGCCCCTTCTGGGTAGGTTAAGTAAGCAGAGATCCTCATGGTAACATGTGCCCTGCCTGTGCCAGGTGTGGCTGTCTCCGAGGCCTGCACCTAGTGAAAGTGTAGGTTACTTATCACCTGCTTAGATGCACCTGGGAGGGGGTGCTTGTTAGAAATGCAGACTCCTGGGTCCCATTCCAGACCCCTAGAACAGACTCTCTGGAAGTGGGACCAGGAACCCACATTTTCACAGATATTCCCAGGGGAGCCTTACGCATGCTACAGTGTAAGAACCACTGTCTGGGGCAGTGTTATATTGTGAAAGTGTGGGATTTGGAACTGGGCTCTGCCACTTGGTGCGTAGGTGATTGGTGCACATGTTTAATATTGCTGGGTCTCTGTGTCTTATTCGTAAAGTGGAAAGAACACCTACCTTACAGGGCTGGTGTGTAAATGAGAAAATGAAAGTGAAAATTCTTTAAAGATTAAAGTGTGACAGAAATGATTATTTACAGGAAAAACAGCAAGGGAGGGAGAGAGGAAGGGAAGGAGCAAAAGGAGAAAGAGAGGGCGTGGGAAGGAAGGGAGAGACAGACAGGCCAACCTGCTGCCTGGGTATAGACAGTCAGGAGTGTGGGACTCTAGGTAGATAATAATATGATCTGTGGGGTGAAGGTGATGAGACACCTGAGGTACTTACTGGTGGAGATACCAGGAGATTCGCTATCGTGGTGTTATTAGTTACAAGCGGTCACGTTTCTTTCTAGAATGTGCAATTAGGAGATTTTAGGAGATGGTTTGTCGTTTTTTTTTTAATTGTAGTAAAAACCAGCTGGCGAAAAATTTACCATCTCAGCCATATTTAAGTGCACAGTTCAGTAGCGTTAATAAGTATATTCACATTGTTGTAAAATAGATCTCCAGAACTTTCTCATCTTACCAATCTGAAATACTATACCCATCAACCAGCTCCCCTTTCTCCCTGCCCCCAGCTCCTGGCAACACCATTCTACTTTGTTTCTATGAGTTGGACTACTCTGGGTATCTCATATAAGTGGAATCATGCAGTATTTGTCCTTCTGTGACTGGCCTATTTCACTTAGCATAATGTCCTCAGGGTTCAACCATTATGTAGCATGTGACAGAGTTTCCTTTTTTTTTTTTTTTTTTTTTTGCGGTACGCGGGCCTCTCACTGTTGTGGCCTCTCCCGTTGTGGAGCACAGGCTCTGGACGCGCAGGCTCAGCGACCATGGCTCACGGGCCCAGCCGCTCCGCGGCACGTGGGATCTTCCCGGACCAGGGCACGAACCCGCGTCCCCTGCATCGGCAGGTGGACTCTCAACCACTGCGCCACCAGGGAAGCCCCCCCTTCCTTTTAAAAGCTGAATAATATTCCCTTATTTGTACATACCACATTTTGTTTATGCATTCATCCATTGGTGGACACTTGAGTTGCTTTCACGTCTTGCCTATTGTGAATAATACTGCTGTGAATATGAGTGTGCAGGTATCTTTTTGAGACCCTACTTTCAATTCCTTTGGATATATATCGGTAAGTGAGATTGCTGGATCTTTCTTCTTTAAAAACTAAAAAAAATTGCTATCAGTCATAGTGCTTTTAGAGCAACATGAATTATTCATCTCACCCCCTGGAGAAAATGCTCTTGTTCATTTGAGGAAA